ACGGATAGAAATACACCTAAGGAGAAGGAAGAAGGACCCCCTGGAGAAGAGCCTCATGCTGAGAAGGATGGAGGGCAGAAGAAGAAGAAGGGGACGGCAGAGAAGGAGGGGGTTGGATGGGGTCACTTAAGAACTAGGCGTGAGCTTGAATGGACTCCAGAGGATGGTAGAGGACAGGAAGGCCTGGAGGGATACTGTCCATGGGGTTGCAATGGGTCAGACACCACTTCATAATTAACAACAAACCTTTCTGAATGAATAGCAGAATAACACAGGTGGAAGGGACCTTAGAGGTCATCTAGTTCAACCCCCTGCTCCAAGGTCCCTTCCAACTCTTATAGTTCTGTAAGGGTCACCTGCTTGAGCAGGGGGTTGGACTAGATGACCTCTGAGGTCCCTTCCATGAATCTGTCCTAGGGTCTTCTGCTCGAGCAGGGGATTAGACTGGATGACCTCTGGGATCCCTTCCGACTCTGTGATTCTCCGTCCGAGTGCCGTCCCTACCTGGCTGAGCCGTTGTAGCTTCTCCCGCTCAACTCGGTCTTCGGCCAGGGTGGCCAGCAGCTGGAGCAGCTGTGGGCTGGGCGCCGTGGTGATGTCCAGGAAGTAAGTGAGCGCCTGGCGCAGCGTGCAAGGGGGCAGGCGGTGGCTGGGCACCCACATCCGTTTCACGCCTACGACGGAGAGAGAGAGAGAGGGCGGTGGAGTGAAGCGTTTGACACGGGTCCCTAAGCCAGACTCCAACTCACGCCAGCACTCCTCGACATACGACAGTCTGTTTAGGGACTGTTGAAAGTTTCAACAGCGGAAGGAAGCTAGAGAACAAAACAAGGAGAAGATACAGAACCCAGAGGATGAACTATTAAATGGAAAAGGGGAGGGAAAGAAGGGGAAAACAGAAAAGATTAAATATATAAGTATATATTCAAGAGTGAGATATAAAGGGTGGGAAAAACACAGGATAGATTAGCGAAGGGAAGGGACTAAGAAATGAAACCAAATTACTTTTTGGGTTGGTGGGAAGACCATCCCAAGGAAACATAAACTGAGAATTGAAAGAGACCACAGAAAAAGAAAGAGAGGAGGAGAGAATGAGAGGAAGAGGAGGGGAGGAAGAAAGACGTTAGGAGATGAGGATGGAAGGGAGAGAAAGAGAAGGAGAGGATAGGAAGGGAAAGAGGAAGAGGAAGAGTAGGAGAAAGGGAAGGGAAGAAGGAAGCGGGAGGCGAGGAGGAAGGAAGGAAGGAAGGAAGGAAGGAAGGAAGGAAGGAAGAAAGAAAGAAAGAAAGAAAGAAAGAAAGAAAGAAAGTAGAGAAGGGAGGGAGAAAAGAAAGGGAAAACAAGGCGGAAGGGATGGTAAACAAAGCAACCCAAACTGTATATTCTAACCTATTAAATGAAATAATAAATGTATAAGACTGACAAACATAAAGGAGAATAACAATTATGTGAACTTAAAATGGAATGTAAGAGAATAAAAAAATAAAATAAGTTGGGGGAAAAAGTTTCAACAGCAGTGAAAAAAAAGTGTTTTTCACACTGTTGCGGCATCCCCGTGTCTGAATTCGGATGGCCGTCGGAGCACAGACAACGGGGCAGCCATTGAACTAACCTGACGACTGTAGGGATTCGCTTAATGACCATGGCAAGAAAGGTCATAAAAGGGGGGCAAAACTGATCTCGCAAATGTCTTACTTAGCAATGGAAATTGGGTCGTACATCGAGGACTACCTGCACAGGTGGCAGCCACGCCCTTCCCAAGGAGATGGGGAGGAGCCCAAGTG